TGCTAATATTTCGAAGGACTTTTCTTATTCTACTGCGCCAAGCAGAGTTGGAAGTCAATGCCTTTTCTTTCTTTTTCCTCTTTTTTCTACACTTTTCTCTTCCCTTTTTCCTCCCTTATTTTTTATTAGTTGCCTTTTTATTTTTGTATTTTACATCATAAACTAATAAAAGGTAAAACTTCAACAAAGGAGTGACAAACAAAAGGATAAATTTTATTTATGAATACAAGAGAAATCTGTTAAAGTTCTAAATGGATTTTGCTTTGAAACAGATGAGCAAGCATTAAATTACCTTGGGATTTTTTTCTGAAGTGGGTCAAAATATCTTTTAAAAAGTCAGGAAAGTTTTATACGTTTGGCTTGCTTGATTCAGGTTAAAAGAAGAAAATAGTAATACCTGGTTGCCCTTACTGGGCTTTTACTGATAAAAATTGATTGACATGGCTTTTAGATCTTTTTTTCCTTATCTAAGAGATGAGATACGGGGGAAAAGAGAGAGCATGTTTATTTACAAATGGTGATAAGTTGTTAAAATTATTTTTAGGTAACTAGGATGAAAGTGGAAGTCATTCCTTTTTTTCTTTTTCTCTCTTCTTTTTCACATACCCCCTTTTCTTTTCTTTTCTTTTCATTTTTACATTTCTTTGTATATTTTGTAGCTTGTATTGACTTTTGTCCTTTACATGTATGATTATTAATAAAATTATTTGAAAAAAATGAATTTCTTTCTGGAGAATGAGTATTCTTCATATTTTCTGATTGTCAAATTGATGTTCATGAATTTATTCTGTCTAAATCATGTTTATATTCAGTTCCCCTGTAGGCAGTTCAATTGTTGCTTTGGTTATGTGGATTTTATTTTCGTATGCTTGTGATTTTACTCTGCCATTGTTTCCTCTGCTGATGACGATTTCCAGGAAATTTATTGCTGTCTTCTTCTCTTGTAAATGTTACACCTTTAAAGTCGTTGATTGTTTGGTATAACTATTCCTTTTTATTACGACAAAAAGTATGGTCTGTGTAATGGAAAATATTTGTATATGTGTATAAGGAGTGCCATCAACAGGATTAATTAATTATGACCTGAAAAGTACCAGTTCCAAGAGATCCCACTGTGCATAAGTCAGAGGTATGCATAATATAAATCACTATTTATATTATGAGATCAAGTTTATCGAGGATATTGATTGAAATACTGTAGATATTTTGTGTTTAGTGACGTAGTGTGGTTCCCCCTGGTGGACAGAATTGTGAAACAATATACTTTGAAAGAAAAGTTAATGTGAACTCATTGACCCTTTTGTTCTAAGTCTTAGGGTTAGGGGAAAGCTGGCTTAGTTGTACTTGCTCAGGGTCCAGAATATGACAAAATAATGAATTTCAAAGGACTCAAACTGGTTCACTTATTTATCCTAATAAAGATATTGGTTGTTTATGAATTTCAGAATTTCATTACAGACCAGTTTGCTTCTTTTATTTGAAATTTCTACTGAGATCATAACTGGGACAGAAGATTTTACTTTAGAGTGAGTTCTAATAACTTCACATTCTGAAATTTGATATCTCTTCAAACTGCTATCTTTTCAAAATAATAAGGTTTTCTTTTCTTTTGTTGTTCAGTCATGTCCTTCATGACCCCATGGACTACAGAATGCCACCCCTCCTCCTCCACTGTCTCCTGGAGTTTTCCCAAATTCATGTTCATTGTTTAATGACACTACCTAACCATTTCATTTTCTTTAGGTATGCTAGCTTATATTTCATCCTGCTGACTCAGATCCTCTGCTTTTGCACAGAACAATATTATAGCATTAGAAATGATATGACATAATTAATTTTGAATTGTCTACAACGTTTCCACTAAACCATAATAGGAATTGTAGATGTAGTTGTCTCAAAAGTGCTTTCTAAAAAGGAAACTGGTCTGTTTTTTCCTTGAGAAAGAAGAACAAAATGTTTTGTTTCTCATCCAAGAAACTTCATCAGTTGTGATGGCTTTGGACTTTGCTGTCTTCAAAAGAGTGACTTGTCTTTCAAATGCAAATGGACTGCTGAATCTTGTCCTGATGGGTTTCTCTCCTATGTTGTGCAATGGACTTGTGAAATTGTTGCTTTGTTTTTCCAGTGTACTGATCTACACATGTCTCACTGCAGTATATATATATAACATTGCTCATATATAACATTGCTCAATTTTTGTCTGTATGTTTTATCTTTGGGGTGGATGAGTTCTTGCCTTAGTGTATTCTTGGGTTTAAAGTGTACTTGTATGTTGTGTTTGTTGACAATTCTTTTGAGCTTTTCAGATATTCCTACAATGTATGGAATGATAACATTGCTATGTTTGTTGTTCTCTCTTTGTCTGTAATGGAAGAACTCCTGTTGGATTTTTTTCTGGTTTTGATGAAGACCCAGTTAGGATAATCACGAGTTCTGAGGAATCCCTTGCCATATTTTAGTTCTTTTTCTTTTCCCTGTTTACTGGTAGGCAAACTTTTGGCCTTGTGGTGTAGCATTCTGATCAGTCCCATTTTCTGCTCAAGTGGTGGTGAGAATCAAAATGTAAATACAGATGTGGGAGTTTTCTGTAAACTTCAGTGTTAATGCTCCTGCCTTCCTTAATATGCACTGCACAGTCTAGAAAAGCCAGATTGTTTTCTAACATCTTCCTGTGTGAACTTAATCTACCCTATCTGTCCACAGAATTGATGTGTTTGGTGAAGGCTTCTACTTCCTATGTTTTAATCTTGACCCAAGTATTGTCCACATATCTATAGTGAGTGGGTGGGAATCCTATTAAAGAGTTTAGGGCTTTGGTTTCTACATCTTCCATGTAGAGATTGGTCACAACTGCGGGACACAGAGATTAGCTGTGCAGTTTTTGTCTGTAGAAACCTTCATTGTATTTAAAGTAGGTGGTGATCAGGCAGAGATCCAACATGGCACATATGTGGCCTGGTTATATGTAGATGTGGTTATGGTCTAGCATTATGTGTAAACACTTATGACTTATTCACCAATTTTCTGAAACAAATAGTGACTTTGTGTTACGTAGTAAACATATATCGGATTCTTAAACATGGAGAAGGAATTCCGAATATGGAATTCTTGGCATAAACTATTACTTAGAAAACAAAAATATGGCATATACATTTAGGTGACTATGACATATTTGGTTTCATTCTTTCAATATCAATTTTATACTTATCACAGAAGATGAAACTTGCCGAAATGGTCAACTTGACAGCTTTAATTAGAGACAGGACATTGCCTAAGTTTAATGCTGATTGGAAATAAACTGAAAAAATGAATTATGATATATGGTTTGAAAATTAGAAAAATAGATTATAGAAATATATAAGCAAAATTGTAAGCATAGAATAAGATATTAATTTACATTTATGCTTACAACTGCTATAAAAGAAAATTGGAAGTAATTTCTTTACATTTCTTTTCTACTGGATTATTGTTTCTGTTCTTATATTTTTTCTTTCTCTTCCTTTTTTATTCTAAATATTCATTCTTGGTTTTATCTTTCATCTTAAAATTTTAATAAAGTTATATTAAAAATTGTACACCTGTCATAGGTGACCGTAAACTTGATTTTGGGATGTTTGCATAACAAATCTTGCCATAAAATGTTAGCAGAAGCCTTGAGTGAATAGAGCAATATCATTTTCTGATAATATTTACACCAGTAAATGTTTATGAATAGAAGCCCAACATTTGAAGAAAATAAACTAAAAATTCACATGCATTTTGAGAAAATGTTGCACTCAAAGGATCAATACTTGGTTGTTCTGAAAAAAAGCAGATTCTACGCTTGCAGGAAAACGCTATGAAGAAAATACATGTATAATTTTTCACAGTTTGTACATAACAGAGCATTTCATTTACATTGAGGTACTGGTGACATTTACAATATTCCACGTGCCTAGCTAATAGTAATATTTGAAAATCTATAATATGATTCATTCATAATTACACTATTATTAGTGTACAATTAAACTCATTGTTAGTTGATTCATAGAACTCATTAGTGATTCAGAGAAATTGGATTGGTGTTTTAATCCCTGATAAATTTAGTACTACATTTCAATAATTATAATTCACACTAATGGAATACAAGTATCTTTCAATCATACAGAATTTCTCAGAATGGGTGAGTCTAAATTTATATAAATGATCTGTACAAAAGCTTGTCATACTATTGTTCCATTTTTATTTAATTTCCATGTTTGTTTATATGGTTTTAGGAAACATAGAGTTTAGAGATCTGTTTTTGAATTATATACCCCAAATTTGGAATGTATCTTTATATGAAGAGATGTGAAAGTATCAAGATGGGACTTAGCAAAAAAACCCAAAAAACAAAAAAAAACCCTCTTTACAATGGAAAGACAGTGCTACCCTGGTTTTATAATCTTGGATTGATGATATTTGTCCACTCTCTTCTTTACACATGGGTTCTTTAACCATGTATGGAAAATGATATTCTGTGTGATCAAACTTTAAAAACTTTTATTTTTATATATGTATGTCTTATTTTATTTTTTTTTGCATATTTTTTTCTCTTCCAGGATCCGTTCAGTCACAATACAAACGTTAAACAGAATTTTACAAATCATTTATTTAATGATTTTGATCTAGTGGTTAAGACAGCAGGCTAGAAACCGGTAGACTGTAAGTTCTAGTTCCGCCTTAGGCATGTAAACCAACTGGGTGGCCATGGGCCAGTCTTCTCTCTCGGCCCAACCGACTTCAAGGGTAGGTGCAATAGGAAAAAGAGGAGGAGGAAGGAGTATTAGGTATGTTTACCACAAGCTGATTTTATATGTGAATGAATGAAATATATGCTTCATTATGTTAGTTCCCCTTAAGAATGGGAAGTCAGAATTAGGCAGGGTGAAATGACTTGTTCGCCAAAGTGACTCATCTTGTCCATTCTTTTATTTCTACATCTTCCACTTTCTGATGTCATATTGCTTTTGTCCTTCAAGCTAATTGACACAATTGCTTCAGAAATCGGAGAACTGAAACAGGAGATGGTACACACAGATCTGGCACTGGACGCTGGACGCACCAGTTTACCAAGGTGAATTAAAATTCTGTATCACTGGACTCATTTGGTGGGCTAATGTTAAGGTGTGTTGTGTTAATTAAGAAGGTGGTTTTCTTCAGTATATATTGTTTACAGTTCTAAACTATGAAAAATATTTGGGTTTTGGATGAATTTTAAAATGGTTTGCTTTGGCAGTAGCTAGTAATGTAATGGTATACTTTATGTTTCTCTTTTTTATGCTGCTTTCCTAACTTCCTGTAAAAAGTGATTGTTTCCTTTGACCCATATCCCACAATTAAGAATTTGTTTATAAGCATGTGGGTTCTTTACAGAAAGCATATAGAAACTTATTTTTCTTTAAGGCTTAATTGCTAAAACATTATTACTTAAAATGGAGCACATTTTTAAAATTAGAAAAATTATTTTCTGCTAAAAATCACTGAAGAATGCTAGTTCACTTGGATTCAGTAGAATCTAATATATTTGTAAAATTCTATTTCAGTTTGTATCAGTTCTGTACTTCAATTTGTCTTTAAGCTTCGTTGATGGTAGTTTAATTCACTGAACTGAAAACAATGTGTAAGGTTTCAAATGAAATGCTATCTCCACACCTTGTGTTTGTGTGTGTGAGATTGGCAATGTGAACTATAGCAGAGTAAATGGGAAGACCACAGACATATACAACATGAACATGCTGATACTGCAAAAATGATAAAATTACTAAGGCAGTGTGCAATCGTTAATGTCTCCTAGGTCATCAGCAAGATTTTTTTCATCCTGTAGCAAACTAAGCCTGGGAAAGTAGAAGCAGAGAACAGTCATCTGTCCTAAGACTTTTGCATTAATTGGTATCCTATCTGATGGTTGTGGATTTCTGAGTGTCTATATCATTTAGTAAATCTTCAAGATAATATTTGGATTCAGCTGATGAACCATCTGCTTCATTGTGTGAGGGTCGTCTTCTTTTAGTCTATAGAAACAATCTTGGATGTGGCATTGAGCATTCTAGGTTTCCTAATTTAAAGGAATAAGAGAAACAATCATGCTAAAATTCTTATGTGGCTCCTCATATAAACAAGTGACCATAAGTGGGTCCCCCTAACAGGCACAATGGGTGCAGTGGTGCACAAAACAGAAGTTGTGCAAAGCCTTCCTAGCCACAACTGCCTCCTGCTCTTACAGCTGGAGTTGTGAATCTAGGAGGGCACTCAAATTGTGCCCAGACTCTCTTTGGGGCAGTGCAGCCCCACTCAATGCCAAAGATTGTACCATGTTTCTCCCAAAATAAGGCCGGTCCTTATTTATTTTTTTGACCCCCCCAAGAAACGCCTAAGCCGTCTTTTCGGGGGTGACTTAATTTCCCCCCCCCTTGCATCCTCGGGCAGGCGGGTGGCGACGGCTTGGATGTTGACCTCGGCATTGGTGGGGCACTTCATATCGGGGAACCTTCCACCGCTGTTGCTTTCCCTTCTCCCCATGCTGCCATGGCATTTAAAGCAGCACCGCAGCGTTTGGCGCAGCCATGCACGGCCAGCCAGGGCTCCTCCCTGCAACCGGCAGAGACACTCGGCTTCAGGTGCTCCTGTTGCTGCGTTCACCTTCAAAGGCAAAGCCAATTCTTTTAAAAACGATGCCCTACTACCGGTACGAAAAAGACTCCCCTGCCCAAGAGGGCAGCACAACCTGACGTGGGGAGGCGAATCTCCCAGGGCCGCAGTGCAGGATTGGCCCACCCCGGAAGAAGCACCCAGCCGCCATCCCTGCCTGGCGCCGGGCAGAGCATGAAGAGCTTTGCCTGGGGCACCCAGCGCAGCTGACAGGCGGGTCCTCCTGCCCAGCAGCAGAGCTCTTGCCAAGGCAGCGAGCACCTCCCCGCCGGACCCTCCGCTCATCCCGCCAGAGCCGTGCAGGCTGGGCAGAGCCTGGAAAGCGAGCCGCGGGTGCGCGCCCACCTGCCAAGCAAAAGAGCCAGGCCGACCCGAGCTTGGCTTCCTTCCCAAGTCCCTCCAGCCCAAACCCGAAGGGGCCACCGGGAGAGGCCGCCCGAGGCAGCTATAGCGCCCACCCATCCGTGGACAGGGAGGCAAGGCGACGGCCTGCGCCGCATCCTCCTCTGAGCTGAGCCCTGCCGAGTGAGCACCGATGCCCATGCCGCTGCAGCATTTGGAGCTGCCGGTGTATTTGGAGATGCGTAGGGATGGGATGGGCGAGGGGTGGAAAGGATGGGCGGCTTCGGGCTCTCTCCGCTGGACCCGCTGGCCAGGGAAGCAGTGCTGCTGTTGCCTCGCCTCCCTGTCCGCGGATGGGTGGGCACTATCATTGCCTCAGGCAGCCTCTCCCAGTGGCCCCTTCGGGTTCGGGCTTTGAGGGACTTGGGAAGGAAGCCAAGCTCAGGTCAGCCCGGCTCTTTCGGTTGGCAGGTGGACGCGCACCTGCGGCTCGCTTTCCCAGCTCTGCCCAGCCTGCACGGCTCTGGCGGGATGAGGGAGGGTCCGGTGGGGAGGTGCTCGCTGCCTTGGCAAGAGCTCCGCTGCCGGGCAGGAGGGCCCGCCTGTCAGCTGCTCTGGGCACCCCAGGCAAAGCTCTTCGCGCTCTGCCTGGCGCCAGGCAGGGATGGCTGCTGGGAGCTTCTCCCGGGGTGCGCCGATGCTGCACTGCAGCCCCGGGAGATTCGCCTCCCCACGTGGGGTTGGGCTGCCCTCTCGGGCAGGGGAGTTTTTGTCGTACCAGTAGGAAGACGTCGTTTTAAAAAGAATTGGCTTTGCCTTCGAAGGTCAAGGGAAGGCAGCGACAGGAGCACCTGAAGCTGAGCGTCTCCGCCGGGCTCCGGTTGCAGGGAGGAGCCCTGGCTGGCTGCGCGTGGCTGCGCCAAACGCTGCAGTGTTTCTTTAAATGCCACGGCAGCACGGGGAGAAGGGAAAGCAACGACGGAAGGTCTCCTGATACGAAGTGACCCACCAACGCCGAGGTCAACGCAGGCAGCACCATATCCGGGTATGCAACAAAAGTACTTCCTAACGGCCAGGCCCCCCACCATTCCCCCCCATTTCATATGTTTAATATAGGCCTTAATTTGGGGGGAGGGGCTTAAATTGATTTTATGCCTATAAAGCATGCTGGGACTTCCTATTGGGGGAGGCCGTATTGTTGGAGAAACACGGTAGATTGTAGTCTTAGAAGTAGAGGAGCTCAAAACCCAAGGCCACACTGTCTTACTAGAGTTCAGTTGAAGCTTTTTGTTCCCTATCCAGATTGTCACAACCTCCAGACCCTGGGAAGGACATCCACAGCATTGCTTAACTAGCCAGAAATTAACCCCATAGAAATGAGGTGAATCATAATATTGTGCCATCCACCTCCAATCCTCTGAGTCACTCCAGAAGGATTCCATGGTAGATGGTATCAAAAGCTAATGAGATGTCAAATAAGGCAAGGAGAGACCCACATCCACTATTTTGCCTGTGCCAGAAATCATCCAAAAGTGCAACCTCTGCCATTGCCATACCATGCCCAGGTCTGAAACCTGACTGAAAAAGTGCAAGAGAATTCCTTACATCCAAGGTCCTCTGAAGATGCTGCACAACCACCTTCTCAGTCACCTTCCCCCAAAAGAGGACGTTGGAGTCCTGGATATGGTTTTTTGAGGAGCAGGTAAACCAAAGCTTCCTTGAGAGGTGAAGGAACCTCTTCACTCCAAGAACTCACTGCTGTTAAAAACTACCCAACAGCCCCTGAGCCACTTTCACAAGCCAGGAGGGACATGGATCTAGGGAACAGGTGGCTGAGTTCACAGTCCTAAAAACCCCGTCCACTTCCAACAGGTTCAGTATTATGTCAGGTATGTGCAGGTAAAACCACTGGATCCCATATTAATTCTATATCTTTTCAGGTACAGGTAGTCCTTGACGTACAATCACAATTGAGCCCAACATTTCTGTTGCTGAGTGAGAAAGTTGTTAATTCGCTTTTTTCAGTGCTGCTGTATCTTTGAACACTTGCTAAAAGAACGCTTGTAAGGCGAGTACTACCTGTATCTGAAGCATTTACTTGTTCTGCTGTAATGGATATTTTTCATATCCAGAAGCTGTGGACAAGATTGTCAATCATTCCAACTCATGACTTAAGCCTTGATCCTTGTCCATTTGGTAAAGTTGCAAGAGGATGGCTCATTTCAAGGATAGAGACCATTAATGGGTTCTTACAGGAGGGAAGGATTCCTGGAATACTAAGTAAGACTAATTATTGCTTAAGGTGAGTTCTTAATATTCATTCTATGCTCTCTTTTTGACGTAGTGGACAGCCTGTTCAAACAAGTGGCAGGAATTAAGTTTCAGATGAATTTAAATGACATTGAGAATTTAATTACATGAGATATTATTTAACCCATTCCAGTTTGAATTCTAGTCTGATTTGGGGTCTCACTGAAATTCCCTTTATAAGTGATCAAAACTAGGAAAAGTGCCACAGCTGATATATCTGGCAGATTTCATTACTGTGATGATCTTTTTGAACAAGGTAGTCCTGTTCTGAATTGGTTTTGTCTTGACGGTCAGTCTCCAGTAGGTGGTGCTGGAAGACATTGGTCTGATATCTGAGCATTTGTCAATGAGGTATTATAAAGTTCTTTTTCATGCTTTTTCAACTTTTACAAAAGCGTCCTTAGAATGTAGGCAACACCCATTTCTTTTTATCTTTCTGATTCAAGGACCCAGGAAAATAGCTTACATTGCCTGGACATAAGCTGAGTGAAACAGAATCCTGACCCCCCAAAAAGTTATGTTAATTGGTAGGAAAGAGTGTTCATCTGAAATTTAGATATGCAACTATATGGGAAAGCATGTTCCCTCAAGAATCAGCTGTGCCGTTTATGCATTTATTGTCTCTTGTGTAATTGGTGGCCGCAGTGTTTTTATCCATGGTTTAAGATCTACAGAATGGATTCTTATTTGTGTGTCATCATTATCAAATATATCTACGGTGGTACCTAAGTGTGCAAGGTGCTAGGTAGGGAGAGATAAATAAGAGTGATAAGATAATCCTTTTGCGTCCATACGCTTCTTTATTCCAGCCATATACTTCTTTATTCCAGCTTAATTTTTTAATTTTAAATGGAAATGCCCCAGAGTAAAGTTAAGGAAAGAAGGATGTAGCCTGCTTGTATTTAATATGTTTGCTTGCAGATCAGTGGAGATAATTTTAAATAAAGAGGATTTACACTTCATGAATGGTTTACACTTCTTTTACCTCTTTATACACATTTGCAGAATAGGGAAGACATTTCAGAATTTCCTGATATAGTTATTATAAAACCATTCTATTCTATCAATCATTTGCTGGGAACAGGTATCAAAAAGCAAGCTTGCCCATGGTCAGTAGAGGTGATAGGGAAAGAACTTCCATTATTTATGAATGGATCATTTTTATTAATTTACTTGATAAACTCATAGGCTACTTGAATGATGAGGTAATTCTAGGCAGCTTGTATATTAGATTTTAAAAAGAAATGGACAGAGTTGTCCCCCAAAGCCACAATATGTTAATAACAACACTAGACATTAATAGCCAACAATGCATTAGGAAAGAGGAAACCCCCAAACCAAGTAACACACAAGACAAAAGTGATGTAATTGTAAGGAAGCAAAAGATTTGTGAAAGCACCAGCAGGGTTGCTCCATAGGGCAAATGCCCATCTCTTACGTCCTCCAAGATGATATTGTTTTACAAATAGAACTTGGAGTGAGTCAGCTCTCCCAGATGTTACTGACCAGGCAAAAATAATTAAAGTGAGGAAGAGTGAACTCACCGGCGAAAGCGTTTTTCTTTGTGGGGATCCAGAGTTTTGGTATTACCTGAGAAGGAGGGTTAACTGGGGAGTTTGGGAACTGAAAACAAGCAGGCCTGTGAGTGTCCCAAGAGAAAGAGTCACACTAGACGACAGCAGAGATGATTTGGATAAGAGAAACTCCAATCCAAAGGTGAGAACCTCAGCAGTCATTTTCAGATAGCAAGAGAAAACTTTAATTATTGGAGCTGCATGACTACTGAGAAGCGGGGGAGGAAAAGAGCCCCACCAGAGTCTCCAAACCCAAGCAAGGCCTCTATTTGCAGCAGCCCAGTGCAGAAGAGCTCTACAAACCAGTTCCAGAAACAAAGGCCTGTAAGTGCTGGAGAAATGGGAGGAGAGACACGCCCATTCACAAGTCTATGGAAGAGTGAAAAGGATTTCCACGTTCAAACGGGCAGAGGTTGTCTGCAAGAGCTATCCACCTGGGAGAAAAGGAAAGTTAAAGAAGTACTAGTTAAGAAAACAGTGCTAACAGAGGAATCAGAACCTAGAAATAGAACATACAGATAGAAATGTGCAGAATAAATAAAAATACAACAAGAATAGTTGTAAACGTATAGTGACAAGAAGATAGTAGAGTAAGATAAGAGTTTAATTTTGTAGAATAATAATTTTGTGATGGAAAAAGAAATAGTCTTTGTGTTCTGTACTGTTCCAGTGCTCAGTTCATATTAAAAACCCTAACATAAAGAAAAGTGGCCGCTTAGATATTTACTTCTTAAGGGTTTTAGTTTAAATAGAAGAGGTAAAGAAATAAGCAAAATAATCTTACATTGCTTACAGAACAGTGGAATTTTTATTTATTTATTTATTTGTATCCCACCTTTATTATTTTTACAAAAAGCTCAAGGCAGAAAAACATATTCAATACATTTTTCCCCTATTTTCCCCACAACAACCCTGTGAGGTGAGTTGGGCTGAGAGAGAATGACTAGCTCAAGATCACTCAGCCAGCTTTCATTGCTAAGGTAGAAGTTGAACTCATGGTTTCCTGCTTTCAGTGCCTTAACCACCAGACCAAGTGGTTTTTGTTTGGTAGAGGTCTAGTTTGGTCTTCTTGTTTGGTCAGGGATTTTGGGCAGAAGTGGGGCACTTCTGGTAGTTACCTTCTTCAACTTCCTTTCACTCCTCCCACCCACTTAGTGACTGAGGTCTGCAGCTGATGTTTCATGATCCTGTCTAGTCATACTCTTAATTCTTTACTGACTGCACCGCTGGTATGTGAACAGCTATTGTGCTAATCACTGTGGGCATTGCAACTCCTCCTGTTACAGTGATAAGAGGGAAATCAAGATGCCAAGTACCCTAGGCCAGAATTTGGCAGTAAATTTCAGCTCTGCAACTTCACATGGCCTAACATGGCTAAAATTTCTCAGATACATGATAGGGCAGAGCCAGATAGCACTTTATTTCAAATTAGAGAGGACAATATTAAACAATTGATTAACATTCTATTAGTATATGGGGTATAGCTCTCAGCACTTGAAGCCCATTACTGTTGCTTGTGTTCATTTCAATGGATTTGGCTCTTGCTTGAAGCTAAATATAAGTGTTGTTGGTTGTTGGCTGATATCTACTGACTCTTGGCTTATCTCTCACTGGGATTTTGAACTGAAAATTTGCTTTTGAAATTATTAAGGCATCCAGTTGCTGCTGCTTGTGATAAAATTGCCTAGGAGTGTCCAATCTTGGCAATTTTGAGACTTGTGGACTTCAGCTCCCAGAATTCCCAAAAGAGGTTGGAGAAGTTGCCAAGGTTGGATACCCTTGATGTAGAACTTGCTACAAATTGGAGCTACCGTATAAGTCTTTCAGTCATCTGCTTTATAGGCTGAATAAAAGGGTATAATTGGGCATCTTAATAGGTCAGGTCACATGGAAACAATTAAGCATATTTAGCTGAAGACATATAATTATTTTTCAGAACTGTGTGCATGCCCAGAGACATAGGACTTCCTGTTATATCTGCAGATGGAGCTATAACAGGACTAGATGAATGAATCTTTATTACAGCCAAGGACCAAACTGTAAAGGTATAACTGAAAACAGCTTTAAAAACCCATAAAAGTAGAAAAGTACAATCAATTGTAAAAATCAATTGTTAAAATAAAAGTATATTAAAGTTCTGATAGACCTTTCATCAGTTGACACCTAATTTTCATGGCTCCTGCACAGTATTTTGCTACTAGCTGGGATTACAGTCTGAAAAAAAACATGAACATGTAAGTATTGTCAGGTCATTCAGGGTCCTGATGTAAAAGAGGCAGGATATAAGCATTGTCTATATCTCTATAGATGGTGCAATAAAATAACACATATTTCAACATTTCCGGTTCCACACAAGCAAATGCATTTCTCAAATGGGATTTTAGAGTATCTTCCCTGTAATAATACTAACGGCAAAATATTATGCCTTGCCCAAAATAAAGCTTTCCTTAGTTTGAGAAATGTTAATAAAGAGATAGTTGACCATTTGCCAAAAAAAATCTCTGTCACCCAAATCCTATTTCTGTATGACAAGGTATTTACTTCCACCTGAAATTTCATGTTATTAAATATTTGGACAACTGTATGTTTGGCAGTCATAGTCCAAGGTTTGTAGTGATTCTGGTCATAATCCATTAGACATTAGTTTTTGTTTTATGACATTGTTCTAGCTCAGGGGCAGCCCTCAATCATTATTAATGGGAATAATCCCCAGTGAAAGAACTGGTCCTTTAGCCTGTAATTTAATAGCAATTAGCATATATCCTAACCTCAATTGTAGACATCCCTGTGTCTAGTCTAAGAAGGACATTGGCAATCCCTCTGAGTGCTGCTAGTACAGATCTTAGAAATTTTATTGGAAACACTTTAGGGGTGTTCAAGAAGTAGAAGTAATTACTTCCTTTCTATTTCCCTTTGTAGCCCAATCAATTTGCTGGCCAACCGGCTTGTTTACTAATTTGGCTTGTTTGTTTTACAGTTTACAACTTACAGAATTGTTCTCAGGTTCACCTATAATAAAATACAGCTGAAAATGAATGCAAACACATATTAGTATTTATTTTTATTTATCTATGATCAAGATACATTGTTGAAGGTTGTTTTACAAGCACAGATTATTTTTGAATAATTTAAACTTAGGCTTTTAATTTGTTTTGTTTTTTGTTTGTTTCTGTTGTTTTAGCCTAGAGAAAGATATGGGTGATGTGTGCCCGGATCAGAAAGATTTTGCAAATATCATACGAGATTCTGGATATGATAGTCTCCCCATTAAGCTCAGCATACTAGATAAACTTCTTCATACCCACCCTATCTGGTTACAGCTTGGCTTAAATGATGCTGAAGCAGTGGAAATTCTACGCTCTCAACCTCCCGGAGTAAGAAACAACTTTAATTTGGCCTTGAAAACAAGAGGAATACTATGCTGGGGCATTGCCTTGCTTTTAGAATCAGACCCCTGCCCATTCTCTCCTATTCTGAAATCACTTTTTAGCTTCTTAAATTTCTATCCCACCTTTTCTCCAAAAATTGATAGCACTTTCTGTTCCAATAGGTTGGGCTGAGAGACAGTGACTGGCCTAAAGTATCCCAAAAGGTTTTCATGGTTGTAGGACATCTTGAACCCCCAATTCCAGTCAAACTCTTTAAGCACTTAAACACACGTACATCATAACTTCCTTCATAGTGTCATTTTATATCACTAGTGTACATGAATAGTGACTAGATGCCAGTCAGGAGAGAAAAGTGTGTGTGATTGCTTCTATTCGTGTAACTCTAATATTCATACACATTATGAATCTGCTTTAGATGAGGGCATCTATGTGACTCTCCTGGGCCAATGCTGCCTACTCTAACTAACAATAGTTCTCTTAGAAATCTTTCTTCATCCTTTGCCCTACTAGACAATTTTAGCTGGTGACTTAGCATTAAATTGGTAATACTTTGTATTTGTACATGTGTGCACTTATTCTGTCATTATGGTATCAATCTTTCTCAAAAAGAAAGATGAAAAAGAAGTTACTGTTCTGAAAGCAATTATTAAAATTATTTTCTTGGCTAACTGGAATAGCACCTGCATAGTTTGATGTTTGTCCTTAGGTGTTAACATGGAGTTAATATTAACTCTTGGCCCAAACCATTTTTAAAAATCTATTGTCTGCAAATTACAAGATAAAATGGGTAAACATTACAAACAAAGATTGGCTATACTTTCTGCCATTTACAGGTTCTGGGAACTAAAAATATCAATAAGTATTAAGCTTTGTAGCTTATTTTAGACTCTCAAATTATTAGTATCTCTTTTGGAAGTCTTACAAGTTTACTTGTATTAAGATGAGACAAAGCAGGTTCATAATATGAAATTTTTGAAAACATGGCTACTAAGTCTATATAAAGCCTTGTTTTTTCTGATTTTTTTTAACAGACTTTCCTTGTTAGAAAGTCCTCAAGAATGCAGAAGAAAGTCTTGTCTTTACGCCTACCAAATGATGTAAAGGGATTTTGCCTTAAAGAGTTTGCAATAAAAGAAAGCATCTATAGTAAGTAGCTTATAATATTGTCTTTCCTTGTCTGAACATAATGAATAGAAGATTCATCAGATGATTGCTTGTGATTTGTGAAGGAATATTGTTAAGTGTGTAACTGAACTGACTCATCTGAAAATTAATATATGTGAACAAAAAGGGCCAGAGCTGATTGGTAATAGAATGAGAGACCATGAGGAATTTCCAGAGCTGTGTATTAGACTGGAAATTAAAATAAAATCACAAAAGAAAGCAATGGCCAAACACTTTTGTGTTGTGCCACGATGTAGAAGCACCTCAGGAATTGAGGTTTGTTATTTTGGTGGATTCCATGACAAATAGCACCCAATATAGACAGTGAGATTTAAATATTTCAAAAACAACTGAAGAATTTTGGAAAAGAAATGCTGACTATGATAAAAGTCTTTATTCACAAACAATAGCTTATGAATTGCAGCGTTATTCCTACATAGGAAGCATGTTTTGCTGTATTTTTTCAGATTAGATATTGTGCAATTGAGCCTGTTTTCTTTTACTTTTCAGCTTTTTCCTTGGAAGGCTCTGGAATAAGTTTTGCTGACTTATTCAGGCTCATAGCTTTCTACTGTATTAGCAGGTAATGGAGAATGTTCTTATAACAGCCTTTGTTTAATATTTCTTAAACTGTGGTTGCCTTGTTAATGCAAATATGAAGAATCTTAATCAAACTGATAAAGAATAAACTGCTGACTAACCTTTTTAGTGGCTACTTGAGGAGATAGCTGAGTAGGATTCTGAATATCTGAAACATCACAATTGAATAGATGAATTAATTGGCTTTATTGCATTCACTGATCAGTAAAATACAATTTTACAACTAAAATTATAGAAATTTAAAAAGAGAGTTTCTATAAAATAACAGTAAATAAAGGACTAAGTTAATAAGAAAACAATAAATTAAGAAAACAAATGCTTATGTGGTATATAAGGTATTAGCCTAATTTAATACACTAGCTATTGCTAGATTGACATATCTATAACATGTCTTAACTAATACAATAATATAATATAATTAAAACAATTTAATATACCATTGTTTAATAAGTAATTAACAATGTGAAACACTAAAATATTTAATTTGAAAACTCATTGATTGATAAAATATTTCATTATTAAGATTACAAGCCAGTGCCTTTGCTCAGTTCTTGTAAATTCAGTACTATAATATATTAACATTGCAAAATGAATTTGATGCTCCAAAAGGGATCTCTCTCTATTTGGCAGGCAATTAAATAGAATTTTGCCACTTGCCATGTAATTTGTGAAATATTTTTTAAAAAATGTTTTTTTTATTAAAGAACTAGCAAAACTCTGTGTCTCACCAATACAATTTTGCAGAAGAGCATGGCCAAGAGTTTCTAATAGCCCTTATTTGCATGGCCCAACTCTTTCCTTTTGTGGAACTTTTAACAGAATAATAGAGTTGGAAGAGACCTTGTAGGTCTTCTAGTAATCCAACCCCTGCAGGAGACCTTATACCAGGGGTCCCCAAATTTGACAACTTTAAGACTTGTGGACTTCAGCTCCAAGAACTCTCCAGCCAGCATAGCTGGCTGAGGAATTCTAAGAATTGAAGTCCACAAGTCTTAAAATTGCCGGGTTTGGAGACCTCTGCCTTATACTATCCCAAACTAGTGACTGTCCACCCTCTTCTTAAAACCCCCCGGTGATGGAGCACCCACAACTTCTGATCCACTGGTTAATTGTTTTCATTGTTAGGAAATTTCTCCTTAGTTCTAGGTTGTTTCTCTCTTTGATTAGTTTTCATCCACTGTTTCTTGTCTTGCCTTCTGGAGCTTTGGGAAATATGTTGCCCCCTTCTTCTTTTGTGGCAGCCACTCAAATATTGGAATGCCGCTATCATTGTCATCCCTAGCCCTTTTCACCAGACTAGACAATCCTAATTCCTTCAACCATTCTTCATGTGTTTTAGCCTCCAGCCCCCTAATCATCTTTGTTGCTCTTTTCTGCACTGTTTCCTAAGTCTCTACATCTTTTTATAACAGTATTGGATGCAGTATTCTAAGTAATCTAAGTGTGGGCTTATATGTGCCCTCAAGGATAACTGATGGGAAAATGGCAAAGTGAGCAAGAGTGAAAATGGTGTGTTACTTTGGTAGGCCGTGCTGTTTAAATAGTAGGTGCCTTATGAGATATGCACTGACTAGATAATATGCTTGCTGAAATGCTGCTTTAATCTCCCTGCCTATCCATGTTCACTATTTTCAATCCTAGATGCTTCTTAGGTGACCATATCCCATTCCCCCAAAGCATTGGGAAATCCACAAAAGTTCATATTGTGCCATTTTCTGCTCTATCCTAACGTTTAGATACATAGAATCCTGTCAATATCAGCAACCCCAAGTCTTCTGGTAGCAACTTCAGCTTTTGCCAGACATTACCTATCCTGACCTCTGGACCCTAGTTTCAACCCTGAGCAGGCCTATCTCCTGGAGGAGTGTTGCCACTTAGATTCCCCCTCAAAACCAGAGAAATACTGAAATACCCACAATGGAGGAATAGATTGTAAAGATGACAAACTTATCAGAAATGGCAATGACTTGCTTGGTCAGGGATCAAGCAATAAATACTTTCTATAAAAGACCGGAACTTTTATGGGTTTTTTTTTACTGAAAATGAAAAAAGGTAAACTTGTGATTTGTAGATTATTGATTGAAAAGGAATTGAATATGAGACACCAGGGATCTTTGTATCATAATTTGAATGAGGGAGGGGGGGGCGGAGGTTGCTTCTTTTATTATCTTTTTCTTTCTTTCTTTCACTTTATTGCTTTCTTCATTTTTTATTATTGTCTTTTGTCTTTCTCTAACTTTTCTTTATATATCTGCATATTAATCTTTTATCTAACTTTTTTTCAATTACAATTATGTTTAAAAAATGTAGAAACCTTGGACTCAAGCAGAGTTGCTTGCTTTCCTACTCTAATTCTACATCAACTTTTGCGGAAGTAAGTTGGGTTAGAAGTTGGGTTCAAAGAGTTTAATGGCAACTAGAATATATTTGCTTGCTCCTCTCATTTAGAAAAATGGCCAACTGGTTCCACTGTTTCTTTGAGTCTCTGGGGTCTTTTTAAGAGCCTCATAATCCTTGCCTTGTTGCTGATTAGTTAAATGGTGATGCAAAATTAAAAGAGGCATAAAGAATGAAAGCCCCCCCCCCATACACACACACACATTACTCCTATTATATTCAGTGACAAGAGCACTGGCTCATCTCTGTACAGACACACAGGTGCTTGCTTCCTACAGTGTTCAGGTGTGGAGTTCTATTTTTTGAGGCAATTGGTGATGGAGTTTGTATAAAAATCTAATAGTGAGAGAGCAATAATGCAGCTTTGTTTGACTCCTCCTATGGTAGGGACAGGCTCAAATAATTGCCCGTTTCTTTCAGTTTATTATTTTCGTGCACTTTATACATGAGTTTAAGTCAGTTGATGTGTCTCAAAGCTTTCCATAGTTTCTTTCTGGAGATACTTTTGAAGGCATGCATAACATCAATAAATATAGCATATACAGATGATCTTGGTTTTACTATATTATCCAGTAGTTAAATGGTGATCCAAACAGAAAAGAGGCATAAAGGACAAAAGCCCCACCCCCTTTTGTTCTATTATATTCAGTGACAAGAGCACTCTTGTTAATTGCAATCTGTGTTGTTTTATAACTTTGCTTTCTCTGAAACCTGCCTATTCAAGACCAAACAAATCAAAATTATTATTATTATTTATTATTATTCCACCAAATCTCTAGGATCTCTATGTTTTGCATATGATTTGCTTGCATAGTTTAATGTTGTACACTAATTGAGTGAAAACTTTTAGGAAGAGACATATTTCGTTTTTACACATTTCTTACTGAAGAAAAATTTGTCTAGAAATAGCATGATATTCATCTCGTAGCAGTGTATATGATGTATTGTATTTGAAACCTGATCATGTTGGATTAGTTTGAAACTCATTGAGTAATAAACAGCTATTTACTGATCGATTTCCATTCTATTTGGTCCAAGTGTCCAGTATATATATCCATGGGTTAATATCCAGAGCCCTGTAGAAGTGGTCTTCGAGGTATAGTTTTTAATATGGAAGTAGGAAATTTATAAAATGCATAGGAATATTCAGTAGCTGTATCCGTTTAAAATAAATAAATTGCATTTTGTTATTTGGCATTGCCCCAGCCTGACAAATGCCTAATTTCAAAAGAGCAAGATCAGTGCTCAGCCTGAAAAAAGGTTTGTGCCCTAATCTATTTTGGAATTATTTATTTAATTACAGCTCGCTCAGTTCTCCATCCAACTTTTATCCTAACCCTGGCACCTGAGATCAGTTATGTAGGATGGTGGAGGCTTATCAGAGGTTTTTTTGCATACAAAACCTAGTTGTTGCTGCTCTACCATGTTTGTCAATTATATTTGCCTTGCAGTGATTCACTAAATTTCTCCAAAAAAAGTTTGTAGTCTGGACAAATGAAATATGTGTATTACACTTACACTGCAACTGAGCCATAATTCAGATGCCTTTAAGATCCTTCTTAAAATCTCCGTTTGAGAACCAATTTTGTGATATTTAAGTTTGTTTAATCGACTTGCAATCTGATCACTCTAACTGTAAGCAAAAAATGGGAAATTCTGAACTATTCAATATACAAGCTTATTCTGAGCTATCTGGTAGAGACTTTGTGAGGAAGTAGCAACAGAAAGTATTTTTGTTTTGAGGAAAAACATATGAGATTGTTGCTGATATTAAGAGGCGAGATTCAGAAGAGTAAAGCAAGTTAATGCCTTAATTGTTTCCAAATAAGGGATGTCCTGCCATTCACCTTGAAGTTACCTCAGGCAATTGCAGCAGCAACAACAGAGTCTGAACTTGAAGAGGCTGTTCAGCTGGGATTGAGTAAGTAAAAGCAGACAATGGCGGGAGGGAAGGGCAGAGTTAAATTGCAGCTGTGGCATTAGGAAGAGATCTCTAGACTCTAATGTGGTGGTAATTTGCTCATAATGCATTCTTTGGCTTTGCGTCTAATGTCCCTCAAATTTTTTTTGCATTAATTTATTGAATTTCACTAATAGAAACAAACAATGGGACATAGGAATGCTGCAAAGAAAAGCATCAACCTCAAGTTGTATTTTCACTTGGACCAATGCAGATGTATTTTAGAAGTATAACCTATTGGTACAGTGCTTTGTTCTCCTTCTGAGTTAAGACTGTTTTATGCATTGGCTGCATTTATTGTGTCAACTATTTTGTGAGTGTGCTTAAAATGCTCCCAAAATTCTATATATCCCAATGGTCCCAAAATATTGGGTACTTCTGTTTTGACAGTTCCCCTGCATGTCACTTTGTGATTCAATCCACACCCACACATCAATTGCTTCTTGTCATACAGAAGAAACATGGGTATCAAGTGAGCATCTGTTTCTCTTCATGAGAGAAGCATATTTAGAAAAGGGTAATTCAGATTGGGTGGGGGAGAATATAGAAATGAATGGTGCAGAAAGGTTAAATTTTCTCTCCTAGCATGTTTTAGCTATTTTTGACTGGAAAAAAACCCCAGGTCTCTAAATATTAGTTTGAGTCATAGAAGCAGTCCCATAGAAGTTATGGAATTAATCCACAGCAGAATTTAAAGTCAAAGGTTCAGTTCTGGCATTGTGACAAGCTAGTTTTTGAAACACCATTTTTCTACTTCTGGAGTTATGGGACCCAGTGTTTATAATTTTAATGATTTGTTATCCCGTATTTGTATTCTGCCTGTGCTTCAGATGTAGTTCCCTCTGTCTGCCTTTGGAAGCAAAATGAGCTTCACGTTCATATTAAAATTTGAACTTGGATGCCTTCTCTACCTCCAATTCTAGTTCTTCTTGCCATGAGCCATGGTTCAGCTGAGCATACAGAAACCTAAAATAAGTATGCCACTCTAAAGCAAATTATCTGGAGACATAAACCACAGTTTGGCATAATATTTGAATTAAGCCATGTTGTCTGCATTAAGCCACTGAAAAATTGATCACAGAGGATCAGATTTAGAAAACGGTCTTTAAAAAAAATTGCTGTTGGCATTGATGAAGGCGAAGACAGCTTACTTCTTAGAAAACCTGAAGCATTCCATTCAAGGCTGTCTTCCATCTGACAGAGAGGATTTCCAGGAGTACCTCTTCTTCTGTGCTTTTAGGAAACAACAAGGCAGACCATTAGAATTAATGTCAAGCAATACCAACAGGTCTGAGTTACAATTAGAAAATATTTGGAACTAACTGATGGGGTTTAGTAGTGCAGAGTTACTCTTGAAATAAACTAAGCTTGCGTAGGAGGTATCCCTGGTAAACTGTACCTTGTACTTCTATGTATGTATATTTCCTTTTTTCAACTCTAGGACCCCAAGGTTTCAAGCTGATTCTATAAAATGCCTCCCCCCCCCCCCTTTAAAGAAAAACTTTTTGAATAGAACATTCTAAGCACTAGCTGCATAATATTTGCATTCTTTTGCTAACTAAATAATGACTTTCAGATTTTTGGAGCTCTCCAGCTAACAACAAACTGCAAAAATCTTCGCCCCTCCAGAAGCCTCTGCCTTCAGACAGCATTTACAAAAGCTCCCAGCAACTCTGCCTCATAAATGGAGTTCATTCTATAAGAACTAGAACGCCTTCAGAGCTGGAATGCAGCCAGACCAACGGAGCCCTGTGTTTTATTAATCCTCTCTTCTTGAAAGTGCACAGCCAGGATGATGGTGGAAATCTGAAAAGATCAGGTCCAAAAGCACAAGATGTGAATGGCCCTGAGAGATCCTGTTCTCCCCCACCCAGGCCTCCCCCACCTTCTATTCATAGCCTTCTTGCACACCCTCAGCTGTCCAGGACTACAAACCAGGCCAGTCTGCCAGGAACTGTCAGTCACAGCAAACACTCCAACTTGGACGTGATACAGAAGAGGCCAGCTCCTATCCCACCGCCTCGCCTGAAGAAAAGGGCTCTCTCTTTAGCACAGAGCAATGCAAAGAACTCAGCAGTAAATGAACCCAGCCATAATTTGGTGGATGGCACAGAAACTGCCAGCATTCCAGGTGGAGCCCCGCCTCAGCAGAACTTGAAGAGCAAAAGCAGCTTAGCTATACACCGTGAGTCACAAGTGCAGTGGAATGGAGGCAGGCAAAGACTAAGCAACATGAGCTTGTCCACATCCTCCTCTGATTCTCTGGATTTTGACCGGAGCATGCCGCTCTTTGCCTATGATGCGGATACCAACAGCAGCCTGGAGGAGTTTGAGGGGGAGAGCGACCAGGAGAGCATGGCACCACCCTTTAAGCCCAAGAAAAAAAGGAATGGCTCGTTTGTGCTTCCCAAAATCGTCAAATCCCAGCTGAGGAAAATGAGTGGCGTCTTCAGTTCCTTCATGACCCCTGAGAAAAGGATGGTTAAGAAAATAGCAGAAATGTCTCGAGACAAGCGTACCTATTTTGGTTGCCTAGTTCAGGACTATATAAGCTTTCTGCAGGAGAACAAGGAGTGTCATGTTTCCAGCACAGACATGCTTCAAACTATTCGGCAGTTCATGACCCAAGTGAAGAGCTATTTATCTCAGAGTTCTGAACTGGATCCTCCCATTGAATCTCTGATTCCGGAAGACCAAATAGGTAAGCAGCCGTCCGTGCGGCACCTTTCAGGAGCAAAAGCTGTGTCTGTCCTTTCCATCTGGCTTTGAAATGCTCTTGTTCATAAGTGAAGTGGCAGCTCCTTCTCTTGCTTGCCATCCAAGCTACTTCAAACAAAAGTGGCTAGATCTGCATTTTGTTCAGTGCCTTTTCCTTAATATAAAATTTTCAGTGGAGTCTTACAAAGCTATGTAAATGAAAAAAAAGTATGCTCTTTGCTCTCACACATGACGTGAGGAGAAACAAGAATTTGTTGTTATTACTAAACTTGGGCTTCAGTTTTCTTTCTGGGAAGGAATATAGTATTCCAGAACTCTAATGTTAAAGAGAAATTTAATTGTAGAAATATAGTAATGTTTAAGACCAGGAATCATGATTGGGAGTAGCAGTTTTTAGACATGTTGTAGGATTTATTTATTAATGCTTAAAATGTATGTAATCTGATCTATTTTAAAATTTAACTCATGAAAATGAAACATCAATAGAAGCAACAGTACAATAAATATTAGGTTTTTTTTTCAAGAAACAAACCCTTAAATAGCATTAAACTATAATGCCTTGCAGTACAAAATGCAATGCAGAGATAATAAAATCCCACATTTTTTTAAAAAAAAACCTCAAATCAGAACAAATGAAGAACAGGTTTTTAAAGTACAAAAAAAGCCTAAGAAAGGGAGATGTTACTTATCTCAGATTTTGTTTGCTTTGTGTTTATGTTAGCATTTTATATAAGGATGTGTATCAAAATCCAAGTTAGTTTTTTAGTGTTGTTTCTATTCATTTTTGTAAGTATCAGTGACATCCATTTTGCTTGAAAATGTCCCTCAAGGCAAAAATACTTTCCCTGGAAGCTCATTTCAATGACTTGTTTTCCTTCCCCTTCTCACTGTTTCAGTGTGCTCAGTTTGTTGAAAAACTCTCTTGGAATAGTGATTTCTGGGATGAAAAATTTGGCCTCCCTTAATTCAATAACAATTTCCATATGGAGGAGTCACTGTTGATTCAACACTAAGAGAATATGTTGTCAATGCAATAACAGCCTGTGATTTTTTTAAAATAGTGTCATAACTTTAAGTGAAATATAGTACAAGTATAGTATAGTATAGTATATAGTATAATATGCTTGTGCTTTGTTTGAAGGTATAATTTTCATGGCTTGATGTGTACTCCAAAGTTGAGAAAACAATCTGAGCCTTGATGACCTGCTAAGTTACTACATTCTTCTTTTGTTAATGCCATTCTGTGTCTGTGTGTGTGAGAGAGAGAAGGTGGGGGAGGCATTGCATTTTAGCTGCAGGGGCTTAGTTGAACAATTGATGAGCCATGCTTAATTTTGCGGAAAGGCAGTTTAAGCAAGCAAGACATTTTTGCTTTTGAACAATTTTGCTGCCTTCACCAATCTTGAGGTTTGCAAATAACCACAACAGAGCAGATGTATCAGATGTTGCTGATTTAGGCAAGAGCTTTGTGGCAAATCAATTGAATCATCTTAGGCAACAAAACAAGGCCAGCCTATTCCACATAGACTAAATGTAGGCCTTCAATTGCAAATATGTCGACAGAGAGAGGGAAAACAAATATTACAACTAGATAAATAGGGTTTTTTTTTCATTTTTTTTATTTGTTGTTACTTAAGTTCTCTACATGTTTGTCTCTAGATGAGGTTTGCTTCAAATAAGCTTTTTTCTCAGTTCTGTAGGAAGAATTTAGGATAATAGTTAATGATCAGAGGCCTGTGATCTCAGTGCTTACAGAAGGAATGAAGTACACTAGTGAAGTAATAGTTTGGTTCATGGTGTGATTTGACAAGTTGTGTGTGCACATGTTCACCGCCTGATCCAACATACTATTTCCAAGAATTCCAAGAAATATTTCCATGCCAGATATTTCCAGGAAAGTCACAAACAGAGCAGTCTTGTCATGCAATTTATTTTGCTTCTAACCACTGAATCTAAAGGCTGAATCTGAAGGTACATTGTCATGAAGTTGGAAGCATGGGAAATCCATGCCAGGTTTCATAGGATGAAAAATTTGTCATTGAAATATTGCACAGCAGTGCATTAAATATGTTATATGGATTGTGCAACGAGCAACTTTCTTTCACTTCTCACAGTCAGGTAGTGTTATTCCTCCTCCTTTGCCCTGATTCTTGTTTTATAAGGAAGGGGAGAATGTCTATGTCTTGCAAAAATATTACAAAGTCGGTTTGCCAAAGTTACTAAGTTAATTACTCTGGAGTATTTCAAACATTCTAGAACAGGTATGGGCCACCTATGAGGACTTAAAGTTATGAGAGGAAATGCTGAATAATATCAAGATGGCCATGTAGTGAATTCAGGGAATTACTTTGAATTGCTACTGTTGCCGTTCAATGATTCAGTTGCTTCCAAACCTTGGTGATACAGTGGACATAACTTGTCCAGGTTGGTCTATCAGCAACTACATCTTTTGAGTTTTTGTAAGCTTATGTTTATGTCATTTTGCCTTCTTCTGCTAGGCTCATTTTTGAATGCCTTCAGTATTTCCAAGCAGCAGGGGCTTCTCCAGTGACTTGCCATTATGTTCAAAACATTTAGGCTTTAGCATCCCTAGATTTTTTAGTGATTTCTAGTGAGTCATTTAGTACTGAATGATTTGTTCTTGTGGCCAAAGTATTATCAACCATTTTCTCCAGCACCACAATGGCAACACATCATTTTTTCTTCGTTTAGACTTCCTCATCCTCCAACTTTCACAGCCATACATTACAATAAGGAAAACCTGTAGATTTCACCATGCAATTTTTCTCTGTTGGATGATGTCTGCAATTTAATACTTTGCCTAGATCTTTATGACAGATTATGATCTTTTCCCCAAATAGTGAATGTTTACTTCATAATTAGTGATTTTTAAAAAATCCTTCTTATTCATCATTCTTCAAGGAACACTGTTCTCAGTGAAGGCCAATCACCTATTGTAAGTCCTTAGAGCAAGGATTTTTCCTCCTCTTCCTAATTGCAGCTGTCCCCCATGTAAAGAAATGCAGAGCTGTCTCAGGGGAATGTAAGAGAGAGCTTTTGGGTGGGGACTTGGAGAACAGATTATAGTCTTAAAACAGAAGGAAGCATGAGAAAAAAACTCAAAATAATGTCACCTTGATTTTGTTTAGCACAAAATGGAACACCTCCTCAGCTTTCAAGATTAATATCAGCCCTTCAAGGCAGGACAGGACAGGAAAGAGACATGGCAAGGATTCCAGAATATTTCAATTTTGTAGTAAGGTGGATTGACAGAATTTCATTACCTCTGCTAAACCTGAGCAGCAGGCATCTAACTCAAACTGCAATGCAAATTTTTCATACTGTCCCAGTACATTTTTTCTGGCCCGCTCTTCACAGAAGGGTCCAAGTTACTTCAGAAAGAGACACCGAACATGTCAAAGAGATTTTGTCATTTTGCCACTCATGCTGCTGTGCTGTAGGCTGAAACTTGATACTTTTTCTGTGTTTGGTTAGACTGGGCGTTGGTAGAAGTTACCGTGAACGCCCTTTCTATCTATGCTGCGAGAGAGCCCAGGAT